GACCGGTCTCAGATGAGCCCCTGCTATGTCAATGTCTAAAAATATTTCATCCACTCTCACACCCCCGTGGAAAGAAGTCAGACACAGCCCCCCAACTTACCCCCACTCAAACCCCGAATACCCACTGAGCTGCTCTGGGGGCTAATGCAGGCTAACACACTGAAGCTGTTTGCGCGATAAAGAGACGTTTCCATGACTGTAACAGAAAATACTTTTCATAAAGACAGCAGGACACACTGTTGGCCTCACAGTTTGCTGCCTGCTAAACAAACACTCCCACAGACACTAACACACACACACGAGTCTCCCACAGTGCTAGCAGTAGCTCACATGCATGTAAAAACTAATTTAATGACTCTTGCTGTGAATGAGTGACAAAGGAGCGCGTGCCTGAATTTAATAAAAATATACTCACTGACGAGTGGAGAAAAAGTCGACGCTCTTTGTCCTCAACACATAAAACCGCTCTGTTTTATTCGTTAGCCATAAAAAGTGGCCTCCCTCTGTCCCACATTGCAAAATGGCGAGGATGGAATATCGGTCACGTGACCTGTAGCTTTGGTCAGGTGACCGGAGCGGGGCGATGATTGACAGGAGAGCCTGATGCTGCGTTCAGGTGCTGAATATGAAGAAATGTCCGTGAAATCAAGAAGTAAGGGTGAATTTTAAAGATGAAGTGACATAGTAGACGAATAAAGATGATCTCTTTTGTAATGAGAAGAACATTTTCTGGAGACCCAATTCTATACTTTTTAAAACTATATTTTTGTTGGCAGGCCAACTTTCTAACAAGCAGAAGCTATTTAAATATAGTCCACACACCTGTCTGGCCTTTAAAATGCTTGATTCAAATCTGTATCAACTTCTGGAAACTATACCCAAAGTTTGTTTGTTTTTAATCAAAGCTCTCAAGTTGTGAATGAAGCTTGAAGGGAGATGTTTTTAAGGGGCAAGGGCATAGAGTGTTTGAAGATTATAAGAATAAAAATAAAAATAAGAATAAGAATAAGAAGAACTTTTTTGATCCCCGAAGAGAAATTCAATTGTCTGTTGCCTCACGTAATATGTCTATAAAAGTTACCTATTATTTGCAAAAGCGTTATAAAGCCTTATTATAGCTATGCGGTCATAGCTATAATAAGGAATGTTTGTTGTATATAATATCAAAATGCCACAAGTAGCCTATTAGTTGAATTGTCAGGAGGTCCTTAAAGGGATATTCTGGTGTCTCTAGGAAGAACATTAATGAAATTTTCTTTATCATTTCCTTGAAGTAATAATCACCATACCATTTTGCATTGCAGTAGCAAAATGTTCTTCTGCCTTAGCGGACTGCATTTCCACAAAGAAATGATCATAAATGTTCTTCCTTGAGCTGTGTCAGCAGTCCGTGATGGACTGGCCTGAGGTCTCGCTACAAACAAGCAGCTGCTGGAGGTGAGTAGGTGAGTTGTGTTTTGTCTCTTTGCTTAAGAAATAAGGCAAAGTTAAAAAGATGTTTGGTGGCTAGTACTATGGCTGGGACCATGTACTGTTGATGAAGTTAGGTGCTGTTCTGAGCTTTATTTGTGGCTATAGAGTGACTTCTTGGTTGAGGTTTGTGTGTGTGGCTCCTCAGACCGCTGTTTATTCCTATTGTGTGGTCGTTACTTAAGTTGGTATAACAAGAGAAGCAAGCGGTCAGCAACATTCATCTCTCGAGGGGGTGTCTAACTCAGTGTTACGGTGTTGTTACTAATCTGCTGTGAGTTTTATAACTTCTCAGCTTGAGATTGTCATTTGTGGATTTTGAGCATGTTGATTGAAACCCATTTGTACAAGCAATAGCATGAGCTAAATTTTGTAGGAGGGATGAGTGTGTAGAGCACATTTTACTCCAATGTGAATTTGTACTACGCTCTTTTTTTTCATACATGTTTCGATCAAATCTTTTCAATGTGATGCAGATTTAGATTTTAGTATTTATGATGGAAGAAATAACAGATTGATAATTTAATTCTGTTTGGGAATATTTTAGTCACAGATGTCAATATCTGAAGAATAAAATTTATAGGCCTATTAATATATGGAAGAATGAGCTCAATGTATTAACCATAGACTGTATACCAATTTTTCAAAACCTAAGTTCCAATTTTAAAAAGTGAAATACAATTATTTAAATGTGTGAAATCTATGACTGTTGCTGATTTAAAAATATATATATATATTCAAAAGCTTTGTTTTATTAAACTTGCAGATCTCTGACATTAAGCTGCTGTTACTTGAAAGCTGGGCAGTTTTTGAGAGAAGGCCTGCAATATTTTCTACACCCAATCACTGCCCTCTGGTGGTTATTTCACATCCATGCATCTCAACTTATCGAACTGTGTATGACATAAACTGCAAGAGCTTTTTTCGAAAGTAGGAATATAAATTAGAAGTGCATTCTTAGTATTGAAATAAGACAGAAATTAGTATGAGTGCTTGCTGAAAATTAAACAGCTTCATTTGACCCTTAAGTGGGATTGATGTCTTTTAATTGATGGTTTATACAGAATAAATTTACAGGGAAACATCTATTTGTGAGACTTTTTAGGCAAGAAGCTATATTACAACAAATAATTACTCTACCTACCCAATTTCTTTACTATGGATCATAACTAGATGTAACACCAAGACCCAGCCAGGAGAAGTGGACTCCTTTTTTCCTGGGGTTTTCTATCTGTGATGATGTGAAAACACTGAAAAGGTAATCCTTTAAAGAGCCAGCAAAGTTCATTCCTAACACAGAAACGCTTGACTGGAAGTCAAGACTGAAGGTGAGGTTGTTAAGTTTGTGAAACAGCAAAAAGCTTGCTACTTTCTGAACAAAAACTGGAAGAAAAGATTAATGGCGGAGTTTCTGGTCCTGACCTTTGGTGGTCATGGAAAAAAAGATAGACAGACATGAGGACAACAACAGACTGCTCACAGAGACACATTTGGTAGAGTATTGTTCCTGAGATCCTCAAATAGAGCTGGACTTCATCTTTTGGCCAACAGAAAGATGAAGGTTCAGTCCAGTTTCTGTGGTCTAGTCCAGTTTCAGGTCAGAGAGAAAAAAAAAAAAAAGATTTCAATCTCATGTTTGCTCTAAGTCGTAATACACTTGCTGTGCTGAAGATGACAACATACACAGTGACACAGCTGCTAGTGTGTATTTATGTGTTGGAATTGTGTGTGAGCTAAATGTGAGTTTGCTGTGTTGATTTTGTGCTGCAGCAGAACAGCGTCATTCTGCGTAAAGGCAGACATCTTTCTAAACATACCCTGAATTATAGATGAAAAATAAATAAAAACACCTCTTAAAATACCCTCTCTATCATAAACTTGAAGCTGAATACTTTAGAGAGATTGGATAAATTATCATAACAATTTTAAATAAATTCACAATATTGAAATGAGGCTGGGATTATGATCAACAGACATTATGTAGGCCTGTCACCAAGCATCTGATATATTTAGCTGTTGTGAGCTGTTTTAAATATTGCCTCTATTGAGGTATGTACACAGACCTGTTCCATAATGTCTCTGCTATTTGTAGTCTACTCTGCTGTGCTGTGCAAAATACTTGTAAAACTGTCCTACTTTTTTTTTATCTGGTTGTCAGAAATTTGCTGACTGGTGTGATGAATATATCTGATGCCTGGACTCCGCATGTGTAAGCCTCTAAGGTGGGCATATTTGGAGAAGTTCAGTTCACTGTGAGTTGCAGCCTTTTAGACCTGATTCATCACATTTGGCTTGTATGTTCTCGCCTGTATGGGGTCTGGTGGGTGCAAACTGGACATTTTGTACATACAGTATCATATTATATCAATCTGTAAAGTTATAAATTGAATGTTTGGGCTTACTTAAAGGCTTGTAGTCACACAAAAAATAGAACATGCATTATAGTCTATCAAGTGTAAATGAGAATTTAAAAAATTGCACCTCTAATTGCAGCACCCTCAACTTCAAGCCTTTTCTAATGTCTGGGTTACGTCCCTAGTACGTCCCTGCTCAAATTGATTAACACGTCTTTATTAACAGGATATGTTCCCCAGTCTTTCAAGACTGCATTGATTAAGCCTCTCCTTAAAAAACCTACTCTGGACTCAAGCTCCCTAGCTAACTATAGACCAATATCCAACCTTCCTTTTATTTCTAAAATCCTAGAGAAAGTTGTTGCGAATCAACTCTGTGATTTTCTCCATAACAACGGTTTATTAGAGGATTTCCAGTCTGGGTTTAGAACCCATCACAGCACAGAGACTGCTCTGCTAAAGGTGTCAAATGACCTAAAAAAAGCCCTAAAGAAACATACCCCCAGGGGAGCCCGAGAGGGGGGGAGAATGAGCACCCCGAACGGACGGACAACCAGGCAACGACCAACGCAAACGGACAATCGACAACGAATGCTGTATGTGTATGCGGAAAGAGCTGCAAAAACCCAAAGGGTCTGAAGATCCACCAGACCAAGATGGGCTGTTTGGTGAATAGGCAGCCAGAGCAGCGCTCAAGGATCAACCTCAAAGAGACGCAGGAGGAACCGGGGCGGGAAGAAACCCGCAGCACCCAGAACCCATGTGCTCCAGAGGTCCTTGGTGAGACGCAGGAGGACCCGGGCCAGGAGTCAACCCACAGTGCCCAGAACCTCCGTGCCCTGGAAGCCCAAACGCCAGTCATCCCACAACACCACCGGCGGGTTAAGTGGCCCCCAGCCAGCAAAGGGAGTGAGTGGCAGCAATTCGATGATGACGTGGATGGAATCCTGGAAGCTACCTTGAAAGGAGGGCCAGACGGGAAACTCCAAACAATGGCTACCATGATCATCAGCATCGCCACTGAAAGATTCGGATCAATGGAGAAGCGTGCTACCACAAACCAGTACTACAAGAACCGCAGGGCAGAAAAGATCTCACAGCTACGACAGGAACTCCGAGATCTGAAGAAGCAGTTCAAGGGTGCAAGTGAGGATGAGAAGCCAGGACTGGCAGAACTACGTGGTGTCCTTAGGAGGAGGCTGCTGACCCTCCGCCGAGCAGAGTGGCATAGAAGGCGGGCTAAAGAGAGAGCCAAAAGACGCGCTGCATTCTTAGCGAATCCTTTTGGGTTCACCAAACAGCTGCTAGGCCAGAAGCGCAGCGGCCATCTCACATGCTCAAAGGAGGAAGTAGACACCTACCTTCACGACACCTACAGTGATGCAGCCCGGGAGGAGGACCTAGGTGAATGCAGAGCTCTAATCAACCCACCTGTACCAGCCACTGAATTAAACACCAAGGTTCCCAGCTGGAAAGAAGTCCAGACGGTGGTCAAGGCTGCTAGAAACAACTCGGCACCTGGACCCAATGGTGTACCTTACCTAGTGTACAAGAGATGCCCCAAGCTCCTGCACCATCTGTGGAAGATCCTGAGGGTGATCTGGAGGAGGGGGACAGTTGCCCAACAATGGAGATCTGCAGAAGGGGTATGGGTACCAAAGGAAGAGAAGGCAACCACCATCGAGCAGTTTAGAACCATCTCACTGCTTAACGTCGAGGGGAAGATATTTTTCAGTATTCTTTCCCACCGGCTGTCAGACTACCTCCTGAAGAACCAGTACATCGACCCCTCGGTGCAAAAAGGGGGAATCCCAGGGGTTCCGGGTTGCCTTGAACACAGTGGCGTGGTGACACAATTGATCAGGGATGCTCGAGAGGGGAAAGGAGACCTAGCTGTACTATGGCTAGACCTAGCCAATGCGTACGGCTCTATACCTCACAAGCTAGTGGAGGTGGCATTGGAGAGGCACCATGTCCCTGGCAACATCAAAGTCCTCATCATGGACTATTACAACAGCTTCAACTTGAGGTTCACCTCCGGCACAGTTACATCTGGACGGCATCGACTGGAGAAAGGGATCATCACTGGATGTACCATTTCAGTGATACTCTTTGCCCTGGCCATGAACATGCTGGTCAAGTCTGCCGAGTCGGAGTGCAGAGGCCCCAAATCCAAGTCCGGAATCCGTCAGCCCCCCATCAGAGCATTTATGGACGACCTGACAGTAACAACAGTGTCAGTCCCAGGATGCAGATGGATCCTCCAGGGCTTGGAGAGGCTGACCACCTGGGCCCGGATGCGCTTCAAGCCTGAAAAATCCAGGTCTCTAGTCCTGAAGAGAGGGAAGGTGACTGACCGGTTCCACTTCTCTCTAGGGGGTACCCACATTCCATCAGTCACAGAGAAGCCCGTGAAGAGCCTCGGAAAAACCTTTGACTGCTCCCTAAAGGATGCCGCTTCCATCAGGGCGACCAACGAACAGCTGGAGAGTTGGCTGACCACAGTCGACAAGTCAGGTCTTCCGGGGAAATTCAAGGCGTGGGTATACCAGCATGGCATCCTGCCTAGGATTCTGTGGCCATTGCTGGTGTATGAGTTTCCCATCTCCACTGTGGAAGGGTTTGAGAGGAGGGTCAGCAGCCGCCTGCGACAATGGTTGGGTCTGCCTAGAAGCCTAAGCAGCATCGCCCTTTACGGCAACAAGAACAAGCTGACTCTCCCCATAAACAGCCTCACCGAGGAGTTCATGGTTGCCAGAGCGAGGGAGGTTCTCCAGTACAGGGAATCCAAGGACCCAAAGGTTTCCCAAGCAGGAATTGAGGTGAGGACTGGCAGAAAGTGGAGAGCGAAGGAGGCTGTGGACCAGGCAGAATCACGGCTGTGCCACAGAGACCTCGTGGGATCGGTGGCTGCCGGCCGTGCAGGACTGGGAACCATTCCAACAACCCGGTACAACAAGCTCAAGGGCAAGGAGAGGCGGGACCAGGTCCAGCTCGAGGTGAGGGCCGGAATTGAAGAGCAGCGTGCAAGCCAGTGGGTGGGATTGAGGCAACAGGGCGCATGGACCAGATGGGAGGAAGCCACAGACAGAAAAATCTCGTGGAACGAGCTGTGGAGGGCTGAACCCCTCCGCATTAAATTCCTCATTCAGTCTGTCTATGATGTCCTGCCCAGCCCATCGAACCTCTTCTGTTGGGGCAAGGTTGAAACTCCAGCATGTCCCTTGTGCCAAGGAAGAGGAACCCTGGAGCACATCCTCAGCAGCTGTCCTAAAGCACTTGGTGAAGGCCGCTATCGCTGGCGCCATGATCGTGTGCTGAAGGCGGTTGCTGAGTCCATCAACACTGCCATCTTCCAGAGCAAACGCTTACAACCATCAAGGCGTGAAATCTCCTTTGTAAGAGCCGGAGATCAACCACCTCCCCGACCTAAAGCCCAGTCAGGCCTCCTGGGAACAGCGAAGGACTGGCAGCTAAGGGTGGACCTGGGAAAACAACTGAAATTCCCTGAAAACATTGTGGAAACCAGACTTAGGCCAGACATCGTCCTAGTCTCAGAGACATCCAAGCAAGTCATCATGTTGGAGCTAACAGTGCCGTGGGAGGAGAGAATGGAAGAAGCAAATGAGAGAAAGAGAGAGAAATATGCAGAGCTGGTGGAGGAGTGCCGCAAACGGGGGTGGCGTGCACGATGCCTACCGATTGAGGTGGGGGGAAGAGGCTTTGCAGGGAAATCACTCTGCAAGGCCTACAGTCTCCTGGGCATCACAGGGGAACGGAAGAGGAGAGCCATCTCTACAGCCTCTGAGGCTGCAGAGAGAGCCTCGCAATGGCTGTGGATCCAGAGGGATAAGCAGTGGTTGAGTGCTTCTTGGACACGGGCCGGGAACTGATCACCCCGGTCGGGTCACCTGAGTGAGGGGGTCTGAAGTTGAAAGACCCGAAACCCCCGATGAGCTCAGGCACTATCACTGAGGATGTGTCCAAGAAAAGCATCACTAGATGTATGTAAGAACCACCTACTCATGGCCTCAGACAATGGTTTTCTCTCTGTTCTAGTCCTGTTAGATCTTAGTGCAGCATTTGACACAATTGACCACTCCATCCTGCTTCAGAGACTAGAACAATCTGTAGGCATAGCAGGATCAGCTCTCTCCTGGTTTAAATCGTACCTAACAGATCGATCCCAGTTTGTCAATGTAAATAATGAATCCTCTGCACACACCAAGGTCTGCTACGGTGTGCCGCAAGGATCAGTGCTCGGTCCAATCCTATTCACCCTGTACATGATTCCGCTGGGTAAAATTATGAGGAAGTACTCGATTAATTTCCACTGTTATGCAGATGACACCCAGCTATACCTATCCATAAAGCCAGAGGAAGCAGGCCAGGTTGCTAGGTTAGAAGCCTGTCTCAAAGATATAAAATCCTGGATGACCAATAACTTTCTAATGCTCAACTCAGACAAAACTGAAGTTCTGGTCCTCGGTCCTAAACACCTTAGAGAGGCCTTCTCTAGTAATTTAGCTACATTTGATGGTATCAGCCTGGCATCCAGCCCCACTGTGCGAAATCTAGGAGTTGTATTTGATCAGGATTTATCTTTTAGCTCCCACATTCAACAAATTTCCAGGACAGCCTTTTTCCACCTGCGCAATATCTCAAAAATTAGACGTATATTGTCTCAGAGCGATGCAGAAAAACTAGTCCATACCTTTGTTACCTCTAGGCTGGATTACTGTAATTCTCTCCTATCAGGCTGCTCTAGTAAGTCATTAAGGACTCTTCAGCTGGTCCAAAATGCAGCAGCTCGGGTATTGACTAGAACTAGAAGAAGGGAGCACATCTCTCCTGTTTTAGCCTCTCTTCACTGGCTCCCTATTAAATCTAGAATTGAGTTTAAAATCCTCCTTGTGACATATAAAGCGCTTAATGGCCAGGCGCCATCATATCTCAACGAGCTAGTTATACCGTACTTTCCATCTAGACCGTTACGCTCACAGTCTGCAGGTCTGCTCGTTGTACCAAATGTCTCTAAAAGTAGTATTGGAGGAAGAGCTTTCAGCTACCAGGCACCTCTTCTCTGGAATCATTTACCGCTTGAGGTTCAGGGGGCAGACACACTCTCAACTTTCAAGAGTAGACTTAAAACGTTCCTCTTTGATAAAGCCTATAGTCAGGGCTGATTTGAACCAGCTCTTAGTTATGCTGCTATAGGCCTAGACTGCCGGGGCTATCTGGCACACTGAGCTAGAGTCTGTCTCTATCTCCTCTTTAGATCTTTATGTCCCATATAAGTCACTAACCAGTTTTCTGTCTCTCTGAGTGTCTCTGAGTCTTTTAGCTGCCACTGGACTAATGCTGCAAACAGGTCTGCTGCGGAACTGCCTGACCCCAGCTGCATCCACCCTGGGCCCTGAGCTCCTCCAACTCTTTGGCTCTTTGGCTCCTCTGGACCGTTGCCGCAGATCCCCCCCCCCCCCCCCCCCCGGCCCTGAGCTCCTTCTTCTCTCTGATTCCTCTGGACTGTTGCTGTTACTGTTACTGCAGACATGAACATCAGCCTCACTGTCATTATTGACATTAATAATACAAAATAGAACTGACTACGATTAAGCCTGCTAACTGTAATCGCACTCAATTAATTCAACATTGTCCATTATCACTCATATCCTAAACCTGTAAACTGAACTTCTTTTTGTTTCACCATTACATGAGCTGTTGTTGTTGTTGCTGTTGTTCCTGCTGCCTCCTGTCTCTCTCTCACCCTTGTTCCCTACTCTCTCTCCCTCCCCCTCCCTCTCCATACTCATTCTCTCTCGCCTTTCCCCTATCTTGTTGTCTCTCTCCCTCCCCCTGTCCTCTCCCCCTCTCCCCTCTTCTCTCTACATTCCTCCCCAACCCAGCAGCGGCATGGTGGCTGTCTAGCATGAGGCTGGTCCTGCCCAAGGTTTCTGCCTGTTAAAAGTAAGTTTTTCCTTGCCACTGTAACTCATGTTAGTTGAGATGGGCCAAAACCCATCTTAGGTTGGTTCTTGATCATCAAACAATGAGCGTGGTCCAGACCTGCTCTTGTTCCTTGAAAAGCGTCTTGAGATGACGACAGTTGTGAATTGGCGCTATATAAATAAAATTTGATTGATTGATTGATTGGGTTGTGTAGTAGCTGAATAGCCTAACTGTAAGCAATATTAGCCTTGTTAATGTGTGCGTAAACTATGTATATTCAGTGGTTATAATTGTGTTTTGCTGTTCAGTCTGTATACTACTTCAGCATAACACACACACACACACACACACACACACACACACACACACACACACACACATACATACATACATGCAATGAACCTATATGAACCTATGAAGAAAGAGAGGAAGACAGGTACTATACACACACAGGGCAGAGCAATGGATTAAAACAGAGTGGCGACACTCCCATAGGCATACGCTGTACAGCCCGGCGGACCCCACTTCCGGGTTATGGAACGCTTATTAGTTCCAACATGACCCCGCCTGTCACATCGGACGCCGTTCGCTTCTATGGCCACAAGGCAAGCACTCACCGAGGTTAAATGATAAAATATCAACAAGTTTAATGCCAATACATGTGTTATTGATATCGAGGGGACCCCTTTATATGTAAAAATGTATATCCCAAATGTAATTACGTTTTTATAGTCAGGAATTGGGATAGATTTTTTAGCCACGGTTTGCTCCCACACTCCCCGAGGTAAAATATTGTATCAACGAATGTAATGCCAATACGTGTGTAAATGGTATCGAGGGACCCCTTTATATGTAAAATGATTTTAATTTTAGTATGCTCAAATTGTAATTACAAATGTAATTATGTTTTTTTAGTAAGGAATTGGGATCGATTTTTTAGCCACGGCCTGCTAGCTGGACGTCATCAGCTGTAGAGGCCTGCCAAAATGTATTGTGTGACTGAGTTATGAATCACAGATAAATCATCATCATCAATCATATGTTGAGATGGTTACTTATGGGCTTTATTTTAGATTTCAGCCTTTATCAGTTCCCGATGTTATATGCAGTTTATTCTTTTTAGACTAACATAAGTGCTATGTAATTTGATTTCTGCTTATGGGATGATAGAGTTAAGGGATCGCTACTTTTTAAATCCTGTCAGCATTTAAGGCGTATGTTTAACATGGAAAAATGTTATGCAGGCCATGCTGCAAGACCAAAACATTGCACAATTGTTTAAACAGCTTGTAACACCTGTTACTTACCACTTTATTGTATTATTTTCTCTTATTAAAAAGTAACACGTGTTACCAAACTTGTCTTATTTCACTTTTATTTGTCATCCAGCCGCTAAATATACGTACGTGACTTTGACGTGTACACAGTAATCCAATAAGAGTTGCAAATGTTGACTTTTTACGGTTAATTTTAATATTTACCTCTTAAATGCGCGCTCACTGCAGTCTGCCCCGTTGAAGAGCATGGACAGTGCAGGCTGCGTTTGGAACTATGGAGGGGTACATGAACCACGTGACCGCTCCGGCGGCGAGATCTGAAGTTGTCGCCACTCTGTTTAATCCATTGCTCTGACACAGGGAAATGAGCAACGACAGGTAGGTGAGACACCTGCTGCGTCCGAATTGCCCGCTCGGATACTACATGCTACTGCTACGTGCTACTGCTAGATCCTACTCCTACATACTAAACACGTTGGCCCATTTCGGACACACTAGACGAGCGGTGGGGAAAGACGACCCCCGCAGGCAGAGATTAGGTACTGCGCCCGTGCAGACAGTGGTAACTGAAGCCCCTCATCTGCGGGCCTGGCTGTAGTACTGCAGCTGTGCAGTTTAATGATGGAATAAGTGAGCCTTACCTCCATGATGTCGCCACATATTTGCTCATAAAATGATTACTTGGGCAAATATGACACCATGACATGACAAAGAGATACAACCGCACATTTTTTAGGACAGTGTGTGAAGTTACATGAAACTTACATCTGTACTGCTGCGGTCCCGCCTGCTGCTGCTGCTGCCGCGACATGGTGCGCGCTGCTGTGGCCAGCCGGCATTCACGACACATTTAAATAGGCAGAGCAGCTGGTGGCGCTAGCATCACATGCGCTTCTACAACTTTTAAGAGGACATTTTAGGTCAGTAGCATGCCCGTAGGATGCACCGAGACCAACCTACAATGTGGGCGTGTCTAGTTTCTGAAGTAGTATCTGAAGTAGCATGCTACTCGCTCCGGTGGCCAATTCGGACATGCTAGATCAGGGGTCGGCAACCTTAAACACTCAAAGAGCCACTTGGACCAGTTTCCCACAGAAAAGAAAACACAGGGAGCCACAAAACCTCTTTGACATCTAAAATGAAGATAACATTGCATATATCTTTTTTTTTACCTTTATACAAAGTATATAAAAAACTGTAGCGAGTTGCATTTATGAAATAAATGAACTATTTCGGCGAGTGTCTGTCTTCTTCTGTAGTTAAACCGCAAGATATCAAAATCTACCCGGATACAGCAATGCTGCTTTTTGATTGGCTGTTCAGTAGATATACTTTATTTGATTGGCTTGTGCGTGGCACGCAGCTTCTGAACTCTCGGAGGAACTCAGTTGATTTCCCCCAGTTCCATAGTTGAAGAAGTGCAACTTGGTGGACATCACCGTGTTCATTTAAATGCGTGAGAAATACAATGTGTGGTGTGTGAGCGCGTGAACGAGTGGGAAAGCGTGTGTCATACGCTGAATGCGTGAGACTTGAGAGCCCTGTGCTCACGCATCATCGATGTACTCCCGAGCCATGCAAAACGGTCTTTGCAAATGTTGCACTGAACGCCTTCCTTTTCAGTCTTGGTGAAGTTTTCCCACACCACTGATGTTTTAGGTCGGGATTTGGGTTGGGTTGTGTCCATGTTTTTCTCAGCCGCTGCCTCAGCCATGGCTGTTTCTTTTCTGTGCGTCCTGCTGATGTTTACACGCCGGTGTCCATGGACATTTATAAAGACCCGACGAATCGATTACAGAATTTGATGGCAACGGATTTTTTCGTCACGACGAATCTACTTAATCGATTCGTTGTTGCAGCCTTAATAGTTTATTTAATGATACAAGAGCATTATAATCTTTGAATTTAGAATTACAAAAAAAAAATGATAATAATAAAATAAAATAAAATGCAATTAAGTATTTATTATTTATTTTCCAAATCCATTGGGAGCTGCAGCTTAGGGAAGAAAGAGCCGCATGCGGCTCCAGAGCCGCGGGTTGCCGACCCCTGTGCTGTGACACTAGTCAACAAAGAGCCTCATGAAGACCAAGGAACTCACCGGACAGGTCAGGGAAAAAGTTGTGGAGAGGTTTGAAGCAGGGTTAGGTTATAAAAACATCTCAAGGAGCACTGTTCAATCCATCATCCAAAAATGGAAGAAGTATGCCTCGACTGCTAACCTACCAAGACATGGCCGTCCGCCTAAACTGACAGACCGATCAAGGAGAGCACTGGTGAGAGAAGCAGCCAAGAGGCCCATGGTCACTCTGGAGGAGCTGCAGAAATCCACAGCTCAGGTGGGAGAATCTGTCCACAGGACAACTATAAATCGTGTACTCCACAAATCTGGCCTTTATGGAAGAGCGGCAAGAAGAAAGCCATTGTTGACAGAAAGACATAAAAAATCCCATTTGCAGTTTGCCACAAACCATGTAGGGGACACAGCAACATGTGGAAGAAGGTGCTCTGGTCAGATGAGACCAAAGTTAATTTTTTTGGCCTGAATGCAAAAGCGCTATGTGTGGCGGAAAAGTAACACTGCTCATCACCCTGAACACACCATCCCCACTGTGAAACATGGTGGTGGCAGCCTCATGCTTTGGGGATGCTTTTCTTCAGCAGGGACAGAGAAGCTGCTCAGAGTTGATGGGAGGATGGATGGAGCTAAATACAGGGCGATCCTGGAAGAAAACCTGGTGGAGGCTGCAAAAGACTTAGTTAGTAACCTTTATTTAACCAGGAAATGAACCCATTGAGATTCAGAATCTTTTTACAAGGGAGTCCTGGCCAGGATAGCAGCACAAGAAGTTCCACATAAAAAACACACACGCAGAAACACAAAACAGTTACAGTATGCAAAACACACACAAAAAAAACTCCTTAATTCTAGTTTTAAAATGTGCCATACTTGGCAGATAATCCAATTTAAAATAAGACTGGGAAAGAGATTCACGTTCCAGCAAGACAATGACCCTAAACATACAGTCAGAGCTACAATGGAATAGTTTAGATCAAAGAATATTCATGTGTTAGAACGGCCAAGTCAAAGTCCAGACCTAAATCCCATTGAGCATCTGTGGCAAGACTTGAAAATTGCTGTTCACAGACGCTCTCCATCCAATCTGGCTGAGCTTGAGCTATTTTGCAAAGAAGAATGGGCAAAAATTTCAGTCTCTAAATGTGCAAAACTTGTAGAGACATACCCCAAAAGACTTGCAGCTGTAATTACAGCGAGAGGTGGTTCTACAAAGTATCGACACAGGGGCCTGAATACAAATGCACACCACACTTTTCAGGTGTTTTATTTGTTTAAATATTTGAAAACCATGTATCATTTTCGTTCCACTTCACAATTAAGTGCTACTTTGTGTTGGTCTATGGCAAAAAATCGCAATAAAATACTTTTCAGTTTGTGGTTGTAGAGTGACAAAATGTGAAAAAGTTTAAGGGGTATGAAGACTTTTTCAAGGCACTGCAAGTCTCCTTGATCGCTCCCAAATGTGTATAAAGAGGCTGGTGCTGCTTGTGGGGTGTTTTTCATTGAGGTCTTGTGAGACCCTAGGCCATGTTACTGCAGGTGTCCTGATCAACCTAACCAGAGAGCGTCACAGATGAAGTTCCAGCAGACAGGATGAAGACAATGGGAAAAAGATGACTTGTAGAAACTGTTTCTCTGTCACTTTCACTCTTGTATTTTCACAGTGACATCAATATAGCACATGAACCTAAAGTAATCAGTAACTTTTTTTTCTTCTTTTTGAGGATATTTGAGGCTGTGCACACACACACACACACACACACACACACACACACACACACACACACACACACACACACACACACACACACACACACACACACAAACTCTCTGGACACACAAATATTGCCAATGTAATTCTGGCCCTTTCTGCTGTAAAATGACGTCTTTCATTGTTGGCTACCTCCATCCACATGTGATTTGTATGAACTGTGAACCCCTCCACCTCCCATTACCCCGGCCGGCTCTCCGTCAAAGGCACACTGAGGCTGTTCTCTAATCTGAAGTGACAGCACATACACTTTCACTCACACATTACACTGTAGCCTGGGGCCTCTGAGCCTGATCCTTTCAAAATGTTCAACCAGGTTATTTCTATTGAAGTATTAAAGTCATACTTCAGTTTAAGCTATTATTTCAGGGTTTGTTATTTTTTCCAACTGCAGGGCTGAGTGAGGATTGATTGAATGAAAGTGAGAGGGCCCGCTGTGGAGACTGAAATGAGGAAATGTACAGAAGGTAAAACAAAGTGGAAGCTCATTTATTTTCTGTTAGCAGCCTTACCTGTGTTAAGATGTTTTTCTTATTTTTTTTATTTTTTTTTTTGTATTGGTCTTCTAGCTGGAAGAAATTACTGTGAGTCTGAGCTCTGTGGCTATGAGATACTAAATAAAGTACTAATAAGTAACTAATCAGTAATAATAAATGAGACAAATTAGATACAAAAAAATTGAGTCCATAAAAAGAACTTTTTGTTTGTGTCTACTTTGGCACCCCTCTGGATAAAACAGTATTCCTTAACATCTTTGCTAATTTTAGCTTGTGTACTGTATAGAAGTAATTTGTTCAGACAAAAACAGGATCAAACTACTGTCCTTTAACAGTAAGTCACTCCTCATGAATATTTTCTGTGGAGATTAAGTCTCTGCAGCTGCTGTAAATCATCCCCTGTGTTGTTGGAGTGCTGTTAAACATAGATCAAGTCTATGCTGACCAAGTCCAAGCTCTTAAACTCTCAAGCTTCTCCTGCAAGGATCCCCCTCTAAAACGTTATTTTAAAACTTCAACAGCAAATGTTACCTTTCAAACTGCATGTTTTCAGACTCTCCTACATAAATCTCCTTAAAATAATATTATCCTGCAAACAGAGCTTTTTTTAGTGTCTGTAGCGAGACTTTC